ACCGACTTTTTTCTCCGTGGACAGATTCGGCTCAAATGTTGTCTGCTGAGGGTAGTTTGACCTCCTGAATACGAATATCACATTCGCTCAGCCTGAAACTTCCTGGCGCCTGCGCCACAGGCGCCAATGATTTGGGGTAATTTGGCGTCAGGAGGTTTTGGGCCAAGCGGATGTGATATTCGTGTTCAGGAGGTCAAACTACCCCAGGGAACAAATTTTTAGCCAATTCTGCCACGCAGAAAAAAGTCGGTCAAAAACCGGCCTGTTTTTGGAAGACTGGGGCAGTAAAGGGTAAATAGTGCCAAAGCGACTGATACGAAACTGTACAGTTTTGTTGCGTGCTTGTTTCAACAACTAGCGGATGGCGCCGCGTCAAACCCGTCCCGCCTGACACGCCTCTTCGTCTGCAGCGAACAACACTGGAATTCTGAGCGCTTCCGAGAAAAGGCTTGATCAACGTGTGAAGCTTTCTTCATTGAGCATATATCACTCATGTATGTTAGCAAATATGGAAGGAGCAGCGACTGAGAAAGTTGTTTTACTGTGAGCTCTAGAGCGATTATTGGGAGCGAATGTCACTCCAAGTAGGAGTGATTGCGTCCCGCCGGAACGGTCACCTCTCTTGGATATCCACAAAAGGACAGAAACGTGCCATGAAAATTGGTTGATCCTCGAAGTTCACCATTTTTAAGGAGTATCTATCGAATTTATCACTCATTTTTAACAAAAGTCAGATGCACGGCGCACCCCTTCTTCTTTTTATTATCCACAGTAGATTCTATATGATTGAGTTGTGCACTTTCAGGTGGGTTTTTCATCGGGTTCTATAGCAGTGTATCGTTTTGGTCAAATCCATCCCATAGTCGTTCTCACGCCTCCGTCGAGCTCAAGAAAGCCTGTCACCTCTATTGAATGGTCACCAATGTAAGCTGCTTCTCATGTTCTTGCCTAATGAATATGCCATTAACTCGAAACTATTGGGTTCAGCTATTCAAGTGTATTCTACTCCATCCACGGAAATCGTCGATTACTTGTGTGGGATCTTTCCATGGGACCATCTCCACAGGCCGTCAACGATCTCTCACAGCAGGTAGGCACAGTAAAACTCGCTGGCAGGCCTAATTCCACTGGCACGCAATCGCCTTGCCCTAGCACGACTGAGGATTTCCAAGGCTAGCTGGATGCAGAGAAAATCCTCCATGGTCGCAGTATGGCAGTAGGACAAAGTCGGCTGCTCCCATTCTTCACATCCATGAGAATTCGAAAAAATCATATTCTATTCAAACAAGTACCCATCTGAGCGCCTCACCCATTCGCCCTTCACCTTCGTCGCACCCATTGCCGCGCGCGACGAAGCGGCAATTTACGATCTCTCGCTCGTCTCCTCCAGTCGAGCGAGATCGCGCGATCGCGAAGTCTGAACGCAATCTAATTGAATTTATCCCAATTAGTCCATCTGAATGAATACTAGCGGCTTCTCCCGCAATGAATTACCTCATTAGACACGATGGTGTGGAGCGAGAATAAACTCGAGAGAAGTGATGGGTTTATAATAGCTATGGGTATTATTAAGACTCAGTCTGTAGCTCTTTTGAAGGCACTGCCGGATCGTTGACATCTTTCTCTCCCATCGTGAGCAGGTAGACGGACCGCAGGGGCAGCGATTGCACCATTTTCGCGGCGTGAAAACGAGCGAGGAGGACAATCATGCAGTTGTTCCCCTCATTGGCCCGACTGATTAACATTGACCCCCCATCCGCAACCCTTTCCCAGCTATTATTAAGACGAATGACTTCAAAGATACATCTGCAGGGCGACTTATTGGGCATTAAAAATAATTAGCATCGATCTAATGCGGGGCGACCACCATCACCAAAACAGTAGCTGGCCTGCCACGAAGCTCGTCCGATCACTTTCGTTTGCTCGTCTGCACGCACAAATGCGCTCGCCGGGGGGGGCGGGGGGGGGGCGTCAGCTGAGGGGGAGTCTTGTTGAGAGCATTTGCGACCATTAGTTCGGTTTTTTTTCTTGAACACTGGCTTTGTTGGCATCTTGGCATCGCCAATTGAGCGCCACCACCCCGCACGAATATCTGGATCGCGGCTCTTCGCCTTTGAAGCGACAGTCTCCCTAAAGTGCCTCACAAATACTGCACGCGTTAAATAGCCGCTGCCTCACGTTTGTCCCTGAATACTTTTCATACGCCACAAAAGTTTTCCCGACGTCTACGTGACTAGTTATGTCAATATTATAGAAGTTTCTACCACGGCTGCAGCTCATAGTCGTTCTTTCTATTTACGTAGCACACTACGACCGCCGCTCCGCCATGAGGATATTCTGTCAAGCATCGCTTGACAAAACCCGAAAGTTTGGGTCGCCAGCCTACGAGAAGGCGTTTGGCCATACCCCGCTCTGCCCTTCCAACAATGACGGTGGTGACAACCGCCCGCCCTTTCAGTCGTACTTCAGTACATGAGCCATGGTGATCGCGGGTAGAGGTAAAAAGTAGGTACTCGTGATGTGTGAAATGGTGATGTCAGTACACCCCATCCTTCGAAGGGGGGTCTCGTACGACCCCCCCCCCACCCCAAACCTACCCATGCATGTTTCCTTCAGTTCCTTGCTTCCTACAATTTCAGGCCTTAAGACAGGGCACATCATTGGTGGTGCGGGTTTGGTCGCGAGGTGTATCGAGTGCCTTTTTTTTTTCGGGGGGGGGCGTAAAGACTCTCTTTCGACCCTCTGCCACGCTTCCCGGAAATGTTTGAATGTCAGAAGGGGGGTATATAGTACCATCAAACCAGGAATATCAATCACAAAAGACGTCAAACGCTCGCTCCTACAACGCCAAAACGGTAAATACCGACTCCCCTCTCTCACAACTGACAAGTACGTCTCCCCCGCCGCTTTACAAACGTCGCGTGAATACGAGAAATCAGTATCAAAATGATTTTTCCAGCCAATTGACGATCGCACCCTCCATGTTAAATACGACCCCACCCTACTTCGGACTTCCCCAAGCAACGTATGTGCCCTGACCAAGAATTTTCCATCTGAGGCATAGGGAAGGGTATGTAATACATGTGAAACAATCGTAATAAGTCAACAACCGGAAAAAATTTTTTCCCAACGCGGCAAATTTCTGTCAAAGCCACATACGACCCCCCTCTCCCAACAACGACCAAATACGACCCCCCCCATGTATTTCACACGACGATGCTGTACGCGGCTCCAGCTCCACTACAGTCATCACTTGTTTTCTAATAGTAAGCGGCGACTGTCGTAGTATACAATTCACCATTTGCAGATTCCCGCAAAGGTAACAAATACAACAATATGGCTTGAGAAAAATGAGAACAAATCTTCAAAAGGAATCGCCTACATGGTCAGTACTAATTTCTACAAGGTCTACAATTGTAAAGAAATTCGTTTTGTATTTTAAATGTTTATCGTGTTGCAGGGGTTAGGATTAAGCACAGGAGAAGTTCAAGTTCATGCCCTCGAGACGGTTAGAGTCAAAAAAGAAGGAAATCTGCTGGCAACACTTAAAATGTTAGATGATTAATCAAATGAATTCCTAGAAAATAACGGCTAATAAACATTTGGAATAGCGATGTCAGTCATTATGTGCATGGCATGAATATTGACTTTAAGAATACAAGAAAATACGTGCGATAGCAGATATTTTGGATGTAGACATTAGCAGAGAGCAGCTAGATCGTTTCTACTTCTCCATAGTCTCCGAGCGTAATGTATGATCCACTTTCAGCTCTTGCCCATTTTTGCCCTTTTCGATATTCGCGAGTTCCTTAACAACGAGGTACTTGAATATCTCTCCATTTCTGCTAAGGCAGCGTTCAGACTCCGCGACGGCAGCGCTTCGGTCGCGCGTTTGACGCGATCGATGCAGTCGAAAGCATGCGCTGCCGTCGCGAAGTCTGAACGCTGCCTAAAGGAATACGTATTGTAAGGATGCTCAGAGGCGGAGGGTTGGACATTTGGAAGATAGCGACATACGCAGTGTGAAAGATACAGATTCATATCAATAGGGAATTCTTGTGAGCATCTGAAGATTTACGAGAACTACGATGCAGGACTCTCCACATACCGACACACGGGGCAAAGATAGTTTGGGGACACCCCCCCCCCGCCTCCCTGCCCCTCCCCAAGTGCGGTGCGAAACAAAAGCATGTGAACAGGTCAGAATGCAGCTTTGAGAGGATATGGTAATTCCTTGCAATAATCAGCCTCGACAGTCGACTAATCCTGCCTGCATCAATACATTTCTGAGCGTGGACACTTCACGTTTGTGGACTTCTTGAATGAGTTGTTTGTCGCTTCGCTGCGGGCGCTTATCCTCCACCAATCGCTGGAGCGCAGGGGACCACAGTTGGTGGAATAGCTGGAGCCGCGCAGCAAACAACCATCCTAAGCTGCGTTTAACTGCGCGACAGCGTCCACGTCAGGAGTTCCGAAGCGTTCGAGACAGCGTCAGCGACCACGAAAGCTCTTGGATATCGATCTATAATCTGGCGTCTACCAGCGACGAGCACCGTCCGAGAAATGAGAGTATGGCGCGATAGGAGGGTAACAGACAGCTGTTTTCTCCTATCGTCCCATGCTCTCTAACAGCAGTCTGCTGCTGGTCGCTGGTGGGGACGCTGGTAGGTGCTGACAGACACTGGGTCAATGCCTGTACTCCCCTTGCCCTCGAGAAGCTGCTGGTCGCTGGTGGACGCTGGCTGATCGATATCTACAGGGACAGGTAGCAGAAAATCTGCTTGGCAACATTTGAAAATATTGGATGATTAATCAAATGAATTCCTAGAAAAATAATGGCTAATGGACAAAGGGGCTAAAGACACTTTTCTTTTCTTGTCAAAATTCTGTGGTCTGGACAGAATTGTCACCTTCAAATTAACAACACAATGTACACTATACATACTCCGCCGACAAAGCCTTCTGGACGACACGCCATTGAGGATTCTTCCAACGCGAAAGTGATCTCTGCCTGCCTGATTCAAGCGAATCATTGACTTTCTCGCACGCACTAGAGACCACCCTTTGAACACTCTCCGTAACATGGTAATGAAGGATGTTTTAGGTAGGTTGGCATAATTGGATACCCGTCTCCTTCAGCTCAAACGCTCGTATCCATTAGTAGGCGAACATGTTCAATGTGGTGGCACTCAATCCTGGTAGGCAGTAGCAAAGTTTCAACAGATGATCAGGGGGCGACATGAAGGGAGGATATTCTCCTCGAATGCTGATGTAACCGCCAGCGCTCACCTACAGTGGGGTCTTCCCGTTCTAGGAAATTCGTCTTGGCGACTGCGGTGATGATGTACTGTACATCACTTCACCGCAGTCGCCAAGACGAAGACGAGCTGCTCGATTTGGAGGTCTTCCAGATCAAGAAAAAGCTGGTACCTCCAATAGCTGTCCAATGGGGACTCATTACGAAGAGTTCTCCACAGGCTTTTTGCGGTGACAATGAATGCCAAAGGTCTTCTCCATTCAGGCTGCGACTGGAGATGACTTCATATTTTGGTGTACATGAAGGTGATAGACGAGCGCCTGCTCCTGCTTATTGAGGAACATCTTGAGTATCTCTTGCCTTGGTACTCGTATCCACATCTTCTGTTAGAGCTGGGTAAACTTTGCTGATATGTGAATCGGCCACTGCCTTTTTTTCCTCCCCCTGTACACTTTCCTGGTAGGTGATGCTGGACGCTCGGAACCCTGATGGATGCTATTGATCGCTGGTGAGCGGTGTCACAAAGTATGAACGCAGTCTTACATTCCGCGGGAAAGAGACTGGAAGACAGTGTAGACCGCGTAGTCTGCACACGGAATGGTTGACACCTGCCCTTTAGGCGATCTACTGCCGGATGTCGTCTCGCGGTGGACGAAGCAACTTCTACAGATGGTTTCCTTCACTTTACTTCTACTGTGCATTTGTTAGGTACTGTACTCTTTGCCCCAACAAATACGCTGTAAAGGGGTGGCAGTATGAGCAGTCTCTGCTTTTAAAAATCTGCAGGCTTCACTTAGCAATAATGAACAAATTGCTTACAGATGCGATGGCCGCATTCATTTCTTCCATTAGAGACTTCTCGGGGCTGAAAGAGGAAAGAAAAAGTAAAAGATCTGGAAACTACGCAACCTCCTGAGTCACCGGTAGAAATAATTATCACTCACTACTGAGTTTTTGCTTCTAAACTCTTATATTTCCTGAAATATTACGTTAACAGATACCATTAGAAGGGAATAAGCAGGGTCAATGGTCACACTCACTTCTCTTCAAGCCTTCTTCTTTCTCATAGCTTCTGCCTGAAAAAAATAAAAGCTATTATTCAAGTGTCCGAAAAAAATTAATTTTGATTATATTCCGAAATCATTAATCCAAGAATACGAAATTCTTGCATTTTTTATCCGATGGAATACTATATTAAAGGTACATGTGGGAAATTGTCCTATGCACGAGAAGGGCACGTAGGAAAGCAATCAGTAGCTGCTGCAAGGAATCCAGCAGCGCAGCACACACCATGCGCACTGATCCCCTAAGGCTGCGTTCACACTTTGCGGCAGCGTCCACCGGCGTATAGCAGCGTCCACCAGCGTTCCGAGCACCCGGCAGCGTCAGCGAATCGGAAAGTACAGATAGCGTCTGCGAGCGTCTATCAGCGTCCATCTGCGTTCACCAGCGTCCGGGAATAGAGAATTCGGAGAAGGGCAGCAAACAGCTGGATTAGGCGTCGTGAAATTGCGGCGTTTGCATTGCACCGCACAACTGCTAAAGCCCGAACTGTGCAGGTGCAGTCTAATGTACCTTGTAGTGTAGGTGCACGGTGGGTTCAACCGCCGCAATATAATGACGCCTAATCCAGTTCCTACCTTCCCGCTTCTCCACACTTTCTACTCCCGATCGCTGGTGAACGCTAGTGGACGCTGGTAGACGTTGGTGGACGCTGCCGTAAAGCACGAACGCAGCCTAACTTTCGCTACAGATGCGACCACCTCTAAAAAGTCCTCTGGTGAAGTGTTTGCCGCGAACAGTTCATCTCAGCGAATTGAATTGAGACGTGACTAATTCGCTTTTATTGGGGAGTTTCTACTTTGACCAGAGGCCATGATAATGACGTAACCTCGACTGTCTCTCAAAGCTACGAGAGGATTTTTTGGGGTACTCTGAGGACGTTTCGTTACAATGTGAAAAACGAATTAACCCGACAGCAACCCGACCTAAATATTGGGTTGGCACATAAGTACTTTCGTTTTTTTTCAACCGGAAATTTCGTTCCAAAGATGAAATGTTTTGCTAGCAAGCTTGATATCATCTGATAGGAAACTTCACGTAGTTTTAGAATATCAAAACGGCTTCGGTTGAGGGAATAATTTTTGTGGATTTTTTAGTCGTTGAAGTTGAAAGCGAAGTCGGCGAAAATTAGCACCTTCGACAACTGCCTCTATTTACGTATAGTCGAAGTGCTAAAATCGCTTAAGCTGCTCCATACATTTGGAAAAGGTCGAGCTAGAAGTTCCAGCAAGGGAATCTCACTAGGACGCTTTGGAACGAATTTCAAGAATTTTGAAGTTACCAACCTTCACCTCGCCGATATTGGGCAGCTCACGTCTGTTCCACCT